TGCAAATATTTTCTAAAATTCCAAAACTACTAGAAATTTTGGAAGAGTCAATACGCTGAGGTAACTTACAGAAAACAGGTGCCATTTTGTCATTTTCCTCATATCACTTAGAAAATATTTCATATCTCCCTGAAGTGTGGATAGCATCCTGCAAAATGCTCTCAATGGCTTTATCTCTTTAGTCCAGTGACACTCTTTTAACTAGGGGGTCCTCTATGTCACTCCAAATGGATTGCTAGGCAATAATACTCTATGAATACAACATCCATATTGTTCCTCTTAGCCTCCATACTTGTAATGTATGCAGTAATACAACAAACATTCTTATGTAAGTATTCAAATGAGCAATCACTTGTCTCAAAGGACCTGGTCTGATTTCTATGGTGGAAACATGTGGGTGAACAGAATATCCATTTAAAGTCTAGAACAAAAGAAAAATGATATTTTTTTCTCTAGTGAATCCCTGAAAAATTAGGCTATCCAAGAAGGAGAGAATGAGATGGAGAATTTCTCTAGTGGGTTCTAGAAAATGCAAAAGCAGCTAAATGTGGGGTAGATAAATCCCCTCATAAAATATCTCCTCTGGGTTACTCTTCCAACTTGTACTGGCACTGGTCTTTTCAGTCCCCAGAGGGGTAGCTGTATATACTTTCAGAATTCTAGAGGTAACCTTGTGAATGACTATCCCTCAACCACTAGTGTGAAAGTCCCTGCCAGTATGTTTTGTAATACCACTACTTATTGTTATTTTTCAATCATTCAGTCATGTCCAACTCTTCATATGGGGTTTTCTTGGCAAAGATACTGGGTGCTTTGCTATTTCCATCTTCCTTCAGGGGATTAAGGCAAACAGAAGTTAAGTGACTTGCCCAGGATCATACAGCTAGTGAGTGTCTGAGATCAGATTTGAACTCAGATCTTTCTGACTGTTATTTACCCATTGAGCCACCCAACTGCCTCAATACTTTTCCTCCTCCTCCTAATATCTGTGGAATTTATGTAGCACTTACTTTGTGCCAGGCACTGTGCTAAGCACTTTCACACTTACTTGATTCTTGTGACAACCCTGGAGGCCGCTGCTATTATTATCTTCATTTTATGCAGTTGAGGAAACTGAGGCAAACAGAGGGTGTGACTTGTCCAAGGTCATGCAGTTAGTAAGTGTCTCAGGCCAGATTTGAACTCAAGTCTTCCTGGCTCTAGGCCGGACACTGTACCATTGAGCTTCCCTGAAAAGGATAATGATAGTAAGGCAAAGGACAGGTTGGTGGCACAGTGGATAGAGCGCTGGAAGGCATGGAGTCTGGAAGACTCATGTTTCTGAATTCAAATCTGGTTCTGGACACTTACAAGCTGTGTGACCCTAGGCGAGTCTCTTAACCCTGTTTGCCTCAGTTTCCTCATCTGTAAAATGAGCTGGAGAAGGAAATGGCAAATCACTCCGGTATCTTTGGCAAGAAAACCCCAAATGGGGTGATAAAGAGTCAGACATGACTGAAAATGACTGAACAAGAACAAAATAAGGCAAAATGTTGGGAACATGTGGCCAAAGCTAATTCAAACTCCTATAGGAAACTGTAGGGTCCAGATGTATTTTCTTTCTCTGCAGGATCTTCTAGAAGTTTGCTGTGGCGCATGGCATCAGTTATGGATCAGCCTCTCTGCATCTCAGACGTGCTGGCATGCCACAGGGCATGGTATCTCAATTAGGTTGTCAATCCATTATTGTACTGGATCAAGCAGGTTGCTTCTCTGCTGAACTGGCTTCTCACCAGGCTTGGATTGGGCAGGTTGCTTAGCCACTGGGAAGTCGCTACAGAGTGGGCTGGGCAGGCTGTTTTGCTGCTGGGATGTCCTGGGTAGGACTCTTAGAGGCTGGGTTCTTTCCATGGCACAACATCTCTATCAGACAGTTGTACCAGGCCCAGAACTCCCACAGCTCACTCTTCAATACATAGCTGCAATCCTTTATCACCTTCAGCCACTGGCTGTGCTAGGTGATACTATACATCCTCTTCAGCAAATGTCACAGTGTTCTTTTCAGAGATATGCTGCTATACTTTTTTTAGTTAGGGAAATAAACCTTAGCCTGTGATTGGCAGAAACTTCACTCTGACTTCCTCAGAGCTTTGGCTCTTATAGTGGTCACTTCTAGGCAAGAGATCACAGAGGTGTAGCTTCTAAGCCTTCCTCTTTCAGTGCTGGTTCTTTCAGCCAGGGATTCTTCCTTGGCTTATGGTGATAAGGCCCATTTCAGCTGGTTACCCTATTCAGACTCCTGTTAGGGTTTTATGCAGTCGAATGTCTAGGGGCAAAGGTTAGAATGCAGTCTATGCCTAGAAGAAAATACTTTGCTTTTGCTAACCTCTTCTTGTGCTGCGGTTGAATCATCCAAGCTTCTAATCCTAAGGTACAGACTGTTCATTTAGCATCTAAAGATATTCTCTTCATATTTTTGCCTCTCCTAATGTTTCAGTTTTGCTGAAGTACAACCAGGGCACAACATTGCTTTGCATAATATTTGTATCTTGCTAGTCCTGTTCAGTCATTTCTGACTCTTCATGACCCCATTTGAGGGTTGTTTTTTCCTTGGGTGGGGCGCTAGGCAATGGGGTTAAGTGACTTGCCCAGGGCCACACAGCTAGTAAGTGTTATGTGTCTGAGGCCGCATTTGAACTCAGGTCCTCCTGACTCCAGGGCCTGTGCTGTATCCACTGCGCCACCTAGCTGACCCAATTTGAGGTTTTCTTGGCAAAGATACTGGAGTGATTTGACATTTGATTCTTTAGCTCATTTTGCAGATGAGGAAACTGAGGCAAACGGAGTTAAGGGACTTGAGACTTGATTAAGCTGGATTTGAACTCACACCTTCAGGTCTTCCTGATTCCAGGTCTAACCACTAAGCCACTTGGCTTCCCCCTTTTGATCTTAGCTAAATGAATGCAGAGGAAAACAACAACTTAAAAAATAAAAATATCATCCATTGATGTTTCTAAGATAATTTGTGAGAACCTACAATGCCAGACTAGGAATAACAAAGACATAGGTTATTACATCAATTTTACTTCTAATGCTTATTAGCTGTGTGACTATGGGCAAGTTACTAAGCCACTCCAATGCTGTTTTCTCATTTATAGAAGAGAATTAATAATAACCATAGTGTCTGCCTAAAGTTGTTGTGAAACTTCAAGGAGATTATGTATGTGAAACAATTTGCATATCTTGATGAATGTGAAACAGTTACATACTTTAAAAGGTAACAAAATATGAATTATTGTTTCCTCAATAGAATGGAAGCTCCTTAAGAGAGGGGGTGCTTTCTCCCTTTGCCTTTGTAGACCTGACCATTAGTTTAGTACCTTGCAAAAAGAAGCACTTCATAAATGTTTCTTGAATGGGTTATTTATTGCCTATGTGACTGGGAGGCTCAAATAGGTTAATAGGGGGTTACAGAGAATCTGCTGGAACTGCTAGAATCCAAGTGTACTTTGTGTGCTTTGACTTTCTCTGAAGGAATGAAGTCTTATTTCTCAATGGTTCATATTCCTACACTGATACTGGTTAGAAATGAATGATTCTCTCTGGTTGAGAGAACCTTGAAAATATATCTCAAGGGTTTTTCCTGCAAATGAGCAAACTATGCAAATGCAATTAAGTATACACACACACACACACACACACACACACACACATATATATGTATGTATGTATATATGTATGTATGTATGTATTTGGTCTATGTTTTCTGTATTATTCATGTAATTTACTGTGTTACCTTGGGCAAGTCACTACATGTCTGAGCTTCCATTTCCTCTTCTGTGAAGTGAGGGTATTGAATTAGATCCCAATCATCTCTAAAATTCCTTCCAGCTCCACCATTCTTACATTCTATATGGTGCCTTCTTTAGTTTATGACCTCTTCAAGATCAGGGAATAATGTCTATTGGTTATTTTCTATGGTTTTCTTGTCTTTATTCTCCCCTATCTCATATCCCTTGTGCTTTACACACCGTGGTAGTTCTATGAACATTATTGACTTGTGGTTTTTCATGTAAAAATAGATGTACAAAGCACTTATTTAGTGTGCTTATGGTGGCAACTATAAAATGAAGTAGTGTTGGCATCTCCATCTGGGACATAAGGAAATATGAATCCTCTATAACCTTCTATATAAATTGTTGGTTCTGGTTGCCATGGTTTCCCAACAAAGCAAGAAGTTTAGATTTCCAGCACTGGGTGAGATAGGGCCAAAATGTCCCCAATCTGCTTTGGCTCTAATAATGTTTTCTTTCTATTTCCTCTGGGAACAAACATATGTTTATGACCATCAACCTCACTGGGTCCTATTTAGTGCTATAATGAGTGCAGAATGAATGTATGAATCAATTTACTTCCAAGGGAAATTCATGTTTCTAATGGTGTAGCTGAAAAAAGTGGAAAGGTTAAAGTAATGAGCACCTCTTGTTGATTCTGGCCAAGAAGCTTTGTTGTTTTATATTTCACCTTTGTCATTATACTGACATATGCTTTTATTTACACCATGACATTGACTGCTAGTGGGCTCTATTTTTGTTTTTTAGGGATTTGTCAGAGGAATATTTACTTCTATGACCGACAGTTAGTTTACAGAGTAGTCATATGATCATAGAATCATAACTTTTGGGTTGGAAGAGATCTTAAAGGTGATCCAGTCCAACACCCTTACCTTACACAGAAGGAAACTGGGGGCTAAAGAGGTCAGGTGCCTTGTCCAAGATCACACAGGTAGTAAGTGGCAGAGCTGGGACTCAAACCCAGGGTCCCTAAATCCAAGTCCAGAACTATTTGGATTATACCACAGTGCTTTTAGAACTTTTTATCTTCCATGGGATGGGATGGTACTTAATACTTCTTGAAGGATGGAGCTCTGTGTCTGGGTATAATTGATTGGTTTGATAATTGCGGGAGGAGCCAGTCTGGGTTTTGCCTATAAAAAAGCCTCTTTTTTTTTTTGATCACAGACTCATCCCTTTTCACCTTTTTGCCATTCCTGCACCTTTTCTAGAAGAGATATCGAGAGGTCATCAGAGATCATCCTTGAGAGGTAAGAACAGACCTGGGTATTTGAAAAGTAGAGGGATGGGGAAAGTTAACTTCAATTCTCCCTCACCAACCCCACCCTCTTCCCAGAGCCTAAGAGCTGCCTTGAGGCAGAGGTATGTGAAAATTGCATAAACTTTCCCCCTATAAATCCCAAGAGTAAAGTTCCTGGACCCCAAGTCCCCATGAATCTGATATCTGAGACACATCTGCTCTCAACCATGCTATGGGTTTTCTTTTTGTTTTGTTTTGTTTTTTGCATTTTCTGGGAGGTGGAAGAAAGACTGTCCTGTATCTGACTCCTAACCTCAGCCCCATTCATGTTAGTCAGAGCCTGGGGGGCTGGGGTATGTGTTACATATTACATTATTGTGACATCTCTGAAGAAGTAAATCATGTTCTTGAAGTGAATGAAAGAACTGCATGGAGGTAGCCTCTCATCTGCGTTCACTCACATCTTGTAGACAGCTGGGAATGGTTGTATTAGTGCCAATTAATCTGTGGTGGTGAATTTATTTGAAGGAGGGGATGTTGTACAGGACAAAACGATAGAGCTTGTTCTTTCTAAATAGTGCTTTTAGATACAGAGGAAGAATGGTAACCAAAAAGAACAGACATATGAGGATGCTGTCAGCTTTATGTCTCACTGGGGGATTGTCATCTCTATATTGCACCTCTTACCCCAAAGTCTAAAGCAAATGCTGAGCCTCAGTCCAAATCAAAGAGTGGGCCTTGAAGTCTCTAGTCCAAAGGATTTAAGTTTAAATAAAATATATTTCAAGGGATGCCATAAGGAATGTACATTATCTAAGTCACTTTATTCTACTAGCTGCTGAGTGATAGGATTCTCTTGATATGAAATGTTTCTTAGCTAACTTTTTGTGGTCGGAGGGGCCTTCTTATTGATGGCCTGGATAGTGTGTGTGTGTGTGTGTGTGTGTGTGTGTGTGTGTGTGTGTGTGTGTGTGTGTTTATGATATAGATCTTGGAAGTTGGCTGGATTTCCTCTGTTTAGGTAGAGAAAGTATTTGAATTACAATTCAATTCAACAAACATTTGCTAAATTCCTGCAAGGCACTGTGTGAAGTACTACAGGAAACACAAAGAAAAGATACTGCCTTCAGAGGGTTTATAGTCTTGTGAAGTACAATTAATTGTCTTCAAATAAATATAATGTCAAAAATCATGGGTCCTATGCTACCATACATATTTTGTTTTAAATTCTGTTGTTAATTTGTTTTAGTTGTGTCTAACTCTTTATGACTCCCCATTTGGAGTTTTCTTGGAAAAAATACGGAAGTGGTTTGCCATTTCCTTCTCAAGATCATTTTGCAGATGAGGAAACTGAGGCAAACAGGGTTAAGTAACTTGCCCAGGGTCATAAAACTAGTAAGTGTCTGAGGCTGGATTTGAACTCCAGGACTGGTGTTTTGTCTGCTGAGTCACGAATCTGATTCCTCGGTTGAGAGATGACTAGTTGACTAGTTCAAATATACTACATAGTCTCAAAATAGTAGTATTGCAAGGGACCTTGGGCAACCTCTAGTCCAATCCTCTCATTTTACAATGGACAAAAATTTGGTTCCTCCTTTCAGAAGTTTTACCTTATTCCAGGTGGTAGGTGCTATTTGCCAGCAGTCTCGTATGACCCATTGATGAAGCCACTTCTTATGTGTTTACTAACTACCCCCTTTAATTGATAAGAATCAAGATCAAGCTCACTGGCCTATGGTTCAAAGCTTCCATTCTCTTACCTTTTTTTTTTTTTAAAGTTGAGTCACTGGTCTTTCTCCAATCCTCTAATACGTCTCCAATTCTCCATAATCTTTCCAGTAACACCAGTCGTGGCTCAGCCATCAAATGCTTGTCTTTTTTTTTTTTTTTTTGCTTTTAGGCAATTGGGGTTAAGTGACTTGCCCGGGGTCACACAGCTAGTAAGGGTCAAGTGTTTGGTCTGAGGCCGGATTTGAACTCAGGTCCTCCTGACTTCAGGGCCGGTGCTCTATCCATTGTGCCACCTAGCTGCCCCTCAGATGCTTGTCTTTCATTTCACTAGTGTGTAGTTCATGTGGGCCTGGTGACTTGAATTCATCAAGGGCAGTTAGGAGTGCTCTTATCTAACCTTAATCTACCCAGGAACCACAAACTAAGGAGTAAAGTATTTAATAACAAATAGCAAGGTGATATACAGGAAAATAAAAGGTAACAAAATAATATTCAATCTCTCTTTATTCCCAGCCTTGCCAAACATAAAAATGATACACTCTTCTATAGACATGAGTACGTAACAACCCCAAGAGAAACACAAAGAAGGATAAAAAATTATCTTTACTACACATAGACTTAAGGGATGTACTGTTAGGACACTGATTTCTCCTCATCCCTTCTAAACTTGGTCTCATTAGCCATGATAGAGATCTGTGGATAACTGTAGGATGCAGTCATTTCCTTTTCTGGAGCCAAAGTTGTCAGGCTTCTGTTGGGATTCCTGAGCTCAGGAATAAAAAATTCATCCATATTTCCTCTCTTATTTTTTCTTGTTCTTGCTAAAGACACTTTCCAGGCAAAGAAGGAGATTGTCTCTGTCTCTCACCTCCCTTAGTTTATTTTTAGCTGTGGGAAAGTAGCCTGCATTGGTGACTGCTTCCCTTTTGATAATTGTGTTGTCATGAACACTTATTGGCTCCAGAAGCAATCTGCATCTCTTGATATAATCCTAGTATCCACATACAAGTCTCATAGTATTCTTAAATCCTTATGTTTTCCCAATGACCAGTAGTTCCATTACAAATAAATAAGGTCAGATGGGGCAGTTTCCTATTATCATCTTCCAACTAAAAAAATTACATTTTCTTTAAATTGTAGCAGTCACATATTACATCTGTAATAATAGAATTGGATGCAATAGATCAGACATAAAGGTCTCATGCAAATAGCATATAACATCACGTATCAGTGTTGTAAATAGTAGACCAAAGAAAGAAATAAAATATTATATATAATATCCTATGTTGAAGTTACAGGTACCCTTGAGTTTAAAAGTTTTATGCTGCTTTGTTGCTCTCCATCAGCTTTTTATTTTTCTGTAGTCTTCTACATAGTAAACATGAGTTTTCAGGGTGTTTAAATACTGTGTTCAATGTATTTTTTGTCAGCACTATGAATGGATTAGATTGGTCCCAATCAATTCCAGAAATTTTTGCCAGTTCTAGCCATAGTAAGGCCATGGTTTTCACTTACAATTTTGGTATTCACTTACAATTTTCCTAGGGAAATCTAGACTCACTTTGACAGTACAAAAATGGATGGTCTTTTTCACTCATCTCATAGAGCATTCCTAGCCTCTGCATAGACTATAGAGGTATATGTTGTGTTTTCCTCATGAAATGACTAGAATATAGTTGCCATTTGGAATCTATTCTGCAGCATACTATATATCTTTAATCCTCATCACTGCTTCACGGAGTGAAGTCCAGGTAGAAAGGATCCACGAATCCCCAACTTGTGTACGTTTCTTGATGGTGAGCTTCAACTTCTTGAAGATCGAGGCTGAATTTTTTTCTTAAGTGAGCTTGGTATTCATGTACCTGATTAGTCCATGGTTGTAGCAAAAATCAGCTTGACCACTTTGACTGGCTGTAGCAGTGCTTTTGCTTAAGTAAGTTGCTCTGACCTCTGGTCCCAAGCCCTTCTAGAAGGAAATGCCAAGTTACTTTTTTTTCCAGTGGGCTTAAGTTGGTGTCCTTCAATGGAATCTGGTTTATTTGAACAAACTTCTCATTTGGTTTCTATTGTCAATATACAAAGAGATGTCCTGGATTTGTGTAGGGCCAACTTTAGTATCCCAACACACTCTCTATTATCATTGCCTCTATTTCCCTAAATAACCACAATGTTTGATTATACTTCTAAATTTTTTTTCCCCTCTACTAGTCCCTTGATCTTTTGGTTAAATCTTTTGTGGCCAGTGCTCTCCCTGGGCACTGCTCCTTTGATTACATCATTCTTAGTCCATTTGGCTCTTGCTTTGTGAAAGCTAAGCTCATTCATCACCTCCTGTGTCCTGTTACAGATAGAGTTTCCAAGGCACATTTGACAAGCAAGTTGAGATTTGGGGATGTTTTGTGCATCTTTCACCCACTATATCCATCGACTAAACCCATATGCTGTCTTTGTAGCAGGCTGCCAGATCTCCTTTTTCCAGTTTCCATCAGTAGGGGTAGTATTGAATTTCTTGTATTGCAGGTGTGCTCTCCTTGTTAGATTGTGCTTTGCAAATGGAAGCACAGAGGAAGGTCCCTTTCCCATGAAGTTTAGCTGCCTACTGGGTGGTATGTCTGAGAATAACATTTTTTAAACATTTCCATTGGATGAGAAGGATGTCTTCTGCCTATTTTCTTTTTTGTTATCTTCATTGTTGGAGGGGCTTGTACAGGTATAGGTTATAACACCCAAGAGGAGAAATCTATGTTTATTTTTAATTTAAAAAATTTGTCTAATCATAACAGGTATTATGCCACCAAAGAGGCTCTTTTTTCCTTTGTCCTCTCTTTTCTGTCTCCTAGCATTTTTTCTTTTTCTTTTGACATAACCTACTGCTCTCCTTCCTCTTAAGATTTTAAAAATTTTAGTTTCATCGATTCCTTTCATTTTTATTTTATAACCATTTCTGGCTCTTCTCTTTCCTATTCCTTGTTTCCCTCCCACCACCATCCCCACTTCATGAGCTTCCTCCTGTTACAGAGAGAAACATTTAAGGAAAGCCAATGGACATAGTGACAGAATTTGACTTTAAGAACAATTTTCTTCATCCATAACTCCACATCTTCCTAAGGAAAAGAAAGAGATGACTTCCCTTATCTTTTCTTTGAGGCCAAGATAGTTCATTACAATCCCAAAACATCCAACTTTATTTTTGCATTCTCTTCATTGGCTTGTGCCTATTCACTCTGCATCAGTCTAAACAAATCTTTCCACATTTATCTTAGATCCATTTATTTGCAC